AATGTTAATGTAAAAAAAGAATAAGAAAAGGAGTAGGGGGAGAGAGAAGGAAGAGAGGGAGAGGGAGAGAGGAAAGATGGAAGGGAAGGAGGGAAGGAAAGAAGGAAAGAAGGAAGGAGGAAGGAAGGAATGGAGAGAGGAAGGGAGGAAGGGAGGAAGGGAGAGGGGGGGATAAAGCTTTTAAACATGACATGCACTCTCTTCCCAAAGCCAGCAACTGGGGTAACGTTTGTGTTGATTTAAGCACACATTTAACCAAATGAATTTTCCATTGTTCCCACCTGTTTCCCAAATAGCTTCAACTGTTCTTCTTTTGACCTGCTTTGCCTCAATCCTACATGGCATCCACGCTCTTGGTATACCCCCACTCCTGGGCGCCTCCACCACAGAGCTGGCCTTAGCAGCAGCTGGGAAAACCAACCAGGGAACAGCTGGTTTCCAAGGCCCCACATGTCTGCCATCCCTGAGGGTGAAGAGTAGTTTTCTGCAATAACTGTATTTGAGGGACAGATTTCATGAAAATAACACTTGGCGCTTATGTGGTATCATTCCATTGACAGATAACTCTCACAGTCACAATCTCCTTGGTCTCGCTTGGTGTTCAGAACAAACCTGGCAGACTGGAACATTATGAATCGGGAGCCAAAGCTCTGGGCCTGGGTGCTGACCCTCACTTGTGCTCTCAGGACTCCGTTTCCTCATGACAAAATAAGAAGACTAGACTAGATGATCTCCCCTTAAAATGAACATTTGTGAACAAGTGCCTCAAGGAAACCTTTCCCCCAGCCAACTCCATCCACCGCTGAATGAAATGCAAAGTGGTCCCTTACCTTTATCACACTGCTTACAGTTTACCCACTCTAATATGACTAAAACAAACCACAATCACGTTAGCATGTCTCATAACAAATAAGCTACTTCATTTAATTCTCCCAACAAACCTAATAAGGGAGGAAGTTCAGCTATTATTACCTTTAGTTTTCAGATGAGGAAATGGAGGGGAAAATCAATGATTTCTGGCAATCACAAAGTAGATAACAGAGGAAGGGAGGAAGTTCTACCTTATAGTTCTGAGGAAACCAAACCAATTTGGAAACGAAAATGTTAACACAGTTTTATTGTTAACACCACCTTCATGGTGTCCAGGTCCACGATGCTGACAACTGTCAACCATTTGGTTGAAAAAAGGATAATCAACGGGGGGACATGATACTTTATTTGATCTCTGATCCACGCAAGCAATTCCTTGAGGCCATAAATGCCTTTATATCCAACTTGACAATTGGGAACATTTTCACATTGCTAATTCCTTAAGAATGGACAGAGACGGTGTCTAATCTAAATTGAAAGCTTCACCTCCAAGTGGCTCTGCACTGTGTGTGGCCTGCACATCCTTGTTGATTTGTTTCTCCTGTATTGGGTGGGTCTCTCCTTGACAACTGGGGGCCACATTTAGCCAAGCAGCTGCCCATTGGCGTCTAAAGCCTGCGATATGTAGTTTTGGCAGCATCTCAAAGGATTTATTATTATCATCCCATGATTTCATTATTATTATTATCGCCCTTATGAAATTCGGTAGCTGAGGCCAATAAAAAGCATTAAGCCCATGTTTAACATAAAACAGTCTGTGTTCTGCACTCCCCCACACAATTAAGGGATGTCCCCCCCTAGTTTCTGCTCACTGTTGGAGAGCTCTAAGAGGAGAGCCTGCAGCCATGAATGAGTCAACCTGAGTATTCCCTCCACCATCACTGCCTTGCCCCAGTCTCACCTGGAGGGGCAACAGGCTCTGTAAGGCCTCTCTACCAAACAGAAGCCAATTCAAATGTGATGCAAAGAGCTCTGTCTGACCTAGGGGTCAGGAGATGTGGGTTCTGTGATGGAGGGCAAGTCTCTTTGCTAAGTTGGGCCTTGGTTTCTTCATACACTAAATGAGGTAACCAAGTGAGATTATTGTGAAGATGAATCTTGAGATAATCTTGTTTAGACCACCTTTGATTTCACCCTTTCCCTGGTTTCTGGAGACTTCCACAGGGGAGAGCACCTCGTTAGGAAAGATCTCAGGAAAAGACCTTCCCACTCCTCACTTCCACTCTACTTCACTCAAAACCAACCTGTTTTACACAAGGCTTTAGGGAAAACAAACGTATCTCTTTATCAGGGAAATCAGAATTCCTCACCTAAAATGTGCTAAGGTCAAAAAAAAAAAAAAAAAAAAATTGATCAGGGGTTCTAAAACTTGGATTTCATTCCAGCTTTTTAAATAACTAACCATGTAGCCCTCTGTACATCTGATGGCTCATCTCCCAAATTTGAGTATCAATACCTCATTTTTTCTTTTTCTTTTTAATTTTTTTAAGCTGAGCCATCCTGCTACCTATTGGCAGCTTAGTGGCTGCTCTGCTCAGGCCAGGCATCGAACCGCTGTTGCTCAGAGCTCAAACTCTTGAGCGAGCTCTTAACCAACTGAGCCACTCAGCCGGCTTCAATACCTCTTTGATTGACATATCCCAAATAGTTTTTGAGGCTCACAAGAAAATGTGAGCAAATGTAAAGTATAACCCAATATACAGATAAGTCATTAAATTAAGGTCACTTAACTCTTTGACCCCAGATAAACTCAGAACTATAAGGCTGATACAACGTGATAAAAATGCTTATCTTCCTATTAGTAGGATAGCTGGTAGGTTTATATTTTGTTGTCAAATTTTAGCAAATCTCTTTATCCAGCTTGATTTAACAAACATGTATTAGGAGCCCACTATGTTTCTTATATTGTTCTGGAGACAAAAAACAACATCAAAATAAGTATAAACTTGAACTTCAGGAGTTTATAGTCTTGTGAATTGAAAGAAATTGTAAAATGAATTTTAAAGCAGTGTAATGCCATGTTAAAGTGTATATAGACCTATAACAAATGCTTAATCCACCCAAGTTGGGATCTGAGTCTTCAGCAAAGGGGTAGAACACCAGAGTTTGATGGCTGCATGACAGAGAGAGAACAGGAGACAGACTGTAAATGAGTGGGACAAACAGTTTTCTAGATTTATAATAGCAGACCTTCAATGACAAATGCTAGAATTAAGTAAGAATAAGAATGTAATAATGGTGATTGGAGAGAAAATTTCTCTCTATGTTCAATAGCAACAGATTTCAGACCATGGTCTTTCTGGTGATAATTATTAAAGAACCCAAATTCATATTTACTTAAGTTGTAGAAATCATAACACTACAGCATTACTCTTTTTAAATTGTGACCTATAAATGTGTAGTGTAAAGGAACTCTTTTAAAAGAAAATGAGGACCAGCTGAGTGGCTTAGTTGGTTAAGATTTAGCTTAAGAGCATGAGCTCTGAGCAACAGGGCCCCCGGTTCGATTCCCACATGGGCCAGTCACATTGTGCCTGAGCTGAGCTGCCACTGAGCTGCTAACAGGTGGCAGGATGGCTCAGCTGGTAAGGCACATGCTCCTAACAACAAGACTGCCTGCTCCATGGTGGGCTACACCCGTCCACAACTAAGACTGAACTCGGCACCTTAAGCTGAGCTGCCACCCGGATGGCTCAGTGGATAGAGCGTGCGCTCTTAACAACAGGCTGCTGGTTTGACTTCCACATGGGATGGTGGCTATGTCCATCCACAACTAAGATTGTAACACAGCACCTTGAGTTTAGAGGCCATGAGCTGCCAATGGGCAGCCAGATGGCGACTGTCGCCCTCCACAACTTGGATTGAAGAACAACAACTCGGCTGGTCCCCCTCCCCAATTCCCCAACACTGTTCCCCTCTCCAAATTCCCCAATTAAAAAAAAATGAGATCTCCTTCTATGAGCATATTTCCTCAAAATGGCTGCTTTGTAGGGGGCCGGCCGAGTGGCTCAGTTGGTTAAGAGCTCGCTCAAGAGTTCGAGCTCTGAACAACAGCGGTTCGAGTCCAGCCCGAGCTGAGCAGAAGCTGAGCTGCCAGAAAGGTAGCAGGATGGCTCAGCTAAAAAAAAAAAAAAAAAAAGGCTGCTTTGTGCCTAAAGTTTTCCCCAGGCTGGCCCCTTCACAAAGCACTGAATCCAGCCACAGTTAATTAGTATACCCTGCACATGCTCTGTACACGTCTGCTTCTTCTACACCTTTGTTCATGCCATTCCCCCATCTGAGAAAGCCCTTCCCGCCCCTCTCCAGGTATGTAAGCCCTCCCTAACTTCAGAACCCAGTTGAAACCCATCATCTCCCATGAAGCTTTTACTACCTGGTCTATCACTTATCAACCTCTGCTTCAGAATGCCAGTAGTGCTTATTTTCTGAACTATCAATTTGCAATTATATTTTTTTTGGGGGGGGAGGGGTATATTTTTCCAGATACAGGTTCTATCCCTAAGAAAATCTGATTAAGTCTCTCAAGGCAGGGACTATATATGTCTATACACTTTTTTGTATTTCTAGTGCTTAATACACCATGATTTGGCAGGCACTCAGTAATATAATCTAGTCAAGTCCCAAACTAGCCATGTTTTCTATCACTTCACTACAACCACCCTCCCATTTGAAAAATGGTCAAAATAAGTTAGGAACAAGCTAAAAGGGCTGTATTGAGATAGTATATATTTACATAACCTAAAAGGATACCAGTATCCTTGAGAAAAATTAATGTTCTTACTCTTTAAAATCATACACGCATCATTTTAGTGTATTCTAAACAGAAGCATTCATGTAGATTTGCCTATCTGAAAAAGGATTTAGCAAAGGCCATTTCTCCTTGCAATGAGACAGCTGAAGAGGTGTAATTTAACAGCTTTCAGAGGCCCGTCACTGTGGTGATTGAGGTGGACAGAAGGCATGGACATGACCAAGGCCCTTAAAAGACACAAACAGGTGGAAGAGTGTGCTGGGGGTGGGCACAGGGCTGGAGAGTACAAAAGGAGGAGGCAAGAGAAGGCAGAGAGTGAGCCGAGAAGAGGAGAGGAGAGGAGAGGAGAGGAGAGGAGAGGAGAGGAGGGGAGGGGAGGGGAGAGGAGACAGAGGTCTGAAGCTGGGTCACAGCTAGACAGGACCCAGTAAGAGGTAAATCTAGAACAAATGCAAGAAGTAAAAGAGTGAAAGACAAATGAGTGGACAGGGCACAAACAGGGAAGAATGGTAGACTGCCGGGATAGGGGCTGCACATAAAGGAAAGACAGATGATTTCTCTGTGTGTGTGACTCGAGGGGTGGAGATGAAAAAGATAAGAGTGAAAGGAAAGGGATGAAAAGGGAAAAGGGAATAAGTAAAAAGACAAAATAAGTAATCAGTGCACAAGTACTAGTTAAATGCTTAAAAAATCACCAGGCTGTTAAGCTGAGCTGGGAGAAGAGTCACAACCATACCCAAGAGGGGACCAACAGAAAGACAGGGGCAGACAATTTAAGTAGCTAGCTACTGAGGTAAAAATGAAAAAAAGCAAAAAGAAAAATAGAAGATGGAAAAGGTGAGAAGCAAGAGAGGGAAAACCCTAAGGAGACGCTGGCCCAGAAACCTTTTTAACTTTCTGTAAAAATCTTCAAGGCCCCAAACTAGGCCAAGATTCTGACTGACATTTCTGAGCTCACCAGCTGCCGTTTCCTTGAGAGAATTCTGACAGGGAGGCATAGAAATGCAAGCCAACACTGCCAGCTCTGGAGAAAAAAAATAATAATAATACTAACAACCCATGCTCTAAACACCTCCATGGGGCTGACGCCTGCCAGGGAGGAAGGCGCACAGAGGAGGGACCTGCCTGCAACTTTTCCCCACGTAAGTATTGAGCTGCTTCCTTCCTGCCGCTTTCTCCTCTAATTGTCCTCTGGCCGTTCCTGCCTTGCCCATCTGTCTTTCTTTGTGAATTTTTGGGAAGCCCTGCGGGTGATCTGCTCCTGTCATCTGAAGCCAGCTCTGTGGTGTCTGTAGGAGCAGGTGAAGTTGGGCGTTCTGTGTCTCATGCAGGTGGGGGGAGGACCTCTAGAATCCAGACCCATCAGGCAGAGCGAGGTGAGGGAAAAGGAGTGAGAGAAATAGCCCCTGCTGGCATTGTCAGCGTGTGGGAATGAATGACTTGTCCGCTAGTACTGATAATGAACTTATTTCTCTGTGCTGGGGCTCGAAGCAAAAAGGCTGAGAGGAAGGGTGAGCGTGGGAGAGAGAAGGACAATCAAAGGTAGCTCCAGGGGAGAGATCTTGTGTCATCGCCCTAGGGGCTGGTCGATTACCTAAAGAAGAGCTGGGTTTTTAGGTGTGATGAATGAGAATTTGACAGCACAGGACTTTGAACTTGTGACTTGCCCTTTCAGTGCCTTGGTAAAATATTTTGTAGGTGTGTTGGAATTTTCTTCAAAGCAACTCAAAGGAATTTATTTCTAGTACTGTATGTGATTTACCTCAAATATTCAATCATTGAATGGGAGTGGTTTCTTCAGATAACCCCACAGACATCCCCACCTAAGACAATGTGACGGGTTACATCTTTTTAAAACACAAAGCCCCCCAGCAATGCATTCCTTTGGAAAACTAGGGCAAGAATCACGTTCTCTGACTTGCTCCCTGGACCTGAAGCAATTCTTAATCCTCATTTAATAGGTGCATTTAAAAAAGAGAGAGAGGTCTTGGAGCTAAAAAGATTTATCATTATTCCACATATTATGTTATATTATCATTACGATCCCTCTGCAAATATGATAGAAGGTCATGTGAGTCAGTGGATCCTCTGCTGGGCTATCGTCTCAAGGAAAGCTTTTACCTCATTTTGTATCCATTCTTCACCAAACCCCACTACAGTTTTAATGGTAAGAATTGGAAGCCAAAGGGATGACTCCCAGGAGTGTACAAACCTTCAAGCTGAAAATTCTAAATAGCTTCACAGACAGGGTTCCCTCTCTTTGGGGTGTGGACCATCTGTCTGCATCCTCATTGGTGAAAGCTCCTACAACCACACCCTTGAAGAGCCACCTTCCTGGCTTCTGTGTGGCTTTACTCCACTTCCTCCCCTCATTGTTAGGAAACTTACAATGTAAGGGTCACTTCCTTGCCTTTGAACTGTTGAGCCTCAGAAACATTGAACTTAGAGCAGTGGTTCTCAAAGTGCAGTCCCCAGAAAAGCAGCCTTAGAATCACCGGAGAACTTGTCCGAAATGCAAATTCTCAGCTCCCATTCCAGGCTACTGACTCAGAAACTCTGGGGGTGGAACCTAGCAATCTGCATTTTAGCAAACCCATCAGGTGACTGATACACTGAATTAGAAGGTTACGATTTTTAGAAGTACTCTTTCCTAAACCCACAGAGCTCAGGTCTCCTTGCAGGTGTGACTCTGGTCACCTCCAGGGATGTCGCTTCTAAAGGAGACCCATCCACAAACCACAACCTCTCAGTGCCTTGTGTCCATCTGTAAAACAGGAACGTTTATAACACAAGTTACTTGTTGGAGCACACAGTAATCTCAAAGTGTGGTGGTGGCAGTGGTGGCTTTATCTGCTCCACCCTTACTGTGGGAAATGCCTTCCTTAGGTGGCTGGTATGAGAACTCAAACATGAAGCTCTCAGGATCCCAGCCCACATGAGAGGAGATGCATACATTCCAGGCACACAAGGAATCCAACAGCCAGGTGAGAGGTGATGTGTGCCCACGTAGGGGTACAAACAATAGGAACGAGAAAGAGAAGGAGCTGCAAGTGGGAAAAAACTTTGTGGAGAAAGTATCTTTTGAGCTGAGCCTGAAAGAGAGTAATTTTAATTGGTGAAGATGGGCAAGGGGAAAAGAACATTCCAGGTGGAAGCTAAGCGTAGAGAACATGGAAAAGATGACCTCAGTGGTCAGGTGCAGACAATAGTGCCCGCTCCCCTTTCTGTCACTAAGTTGACTGTTCATGTGTGGAGAGCGATCACCCTGGTTTTAACCATTTGTCACCATTTGCAGACATTCCTTAATCCAAACGAAATAATTTTCCTTAGACTGTTACAGAATGAGGGCTTTCTAGTATTAATGAATCCATGACTTTAGCATTCCTATCTCTCTGTCCTGTTTATTGTTAGGTCATGTTTTGCAAAGTCCTCTGCTCACTTGCCACAGAATAAATTGGGAATGGTTGCAAAAATGCAGATTCCGGGGCCCCAGCCCAGATGGCTTCATTTCAGCATCTTTGAGAGCAAGTCAGAAGAATCTGCATTGTAACAAACCCCCTTGTGATTCTAATGCTCACTCAAGTTTGAAAGCAACTCTCCTTGGAGCTTTTTTTCCCCTAAATTTGCTGAACGTAGAAATCACCCAGGAGTGCTTGTTAAAAATATAGATACTTAACCATTCCCATGGAGATTTCAATTGCATGGCTCTGGAGTGGGGTGCAGGCAACAGGAGTGTTAAGAAGTGCTTCCGTGGCACTAAGGATCAGGCAAGCTTGGGAAATACAGTGTATTCGAATGAAGGTGTCCTTTGAGTTAGAGACTTGCTTCAAGTCATATAGGTCAACAGCCATTTACTAGCTGTGTGATTTGGACAAGTTTCTTAACTATTCTATGGCTCCAGATTACTTAATCTGCTAGAGACAGTTTCATCCTGTGTAATAAAATATACTTCGCAGAATTGCTGGGAGTGTAAATCAGTAAATGTTGGCTCCCTCTCTCTCGTTGCCCCTTCCTCCCCTGAAATCCCAGCTCTGATGAGAAGCAGGGCAAGGACAACAGTGGTGATAAAATGCCACCCATACTCCCCTCTTCTGAGAAAAGTGGCAGGGTGCTGCAGGGAGAGGAGACGGGCTCTTGGAGTTCGCCTTGCTTTTGGTTGTGCCTGGGAAGTTAAAATGGGACTCATGCTCATGATTGAAACAACATTCAGGACTGGCCAGTCCTCCAAAAATAGCAAGATGTTCTGGTTGAGCCTTAGGAAAAATAAGGTCTTATCCTGACATGCTACCCCACACTTGCCTTAAATGGAGGGGCCTCTGCATCATTTCCTACCACCCCAGTCAGATGGTGGTAAGCCCCAAATAATTTGGCATGTGCCTTGGTGAGCTCCAGAATAGCTTCCGTTTCATGGACAAGAACCAAGAACAGCAGCAGTGATACCAGTGCGTAAGGTCACAAGCACTCAGACTTCGGTTGGCATGGGGACCTCTGTGCAGACCACTCCCCCTGCAGACGCTGGCAGTGTCCTCATCCCCACAGAAGCATGCAATTCTGATTACATTTTAAGAAATTATTATCGATTGTTTTAAACTTCCAAGCCTTACTGTGGGGCAGAAAAGGGACCGGGAGAGCTAAGGTGCCTATATTAGAAATTCAGAGAGTGAGATACAGATGGTTTTTCTGCAGAGAGTTCTGGTTTCCTCCCCACATCCAGCAAAGGGCTGACAAACTAAGGTCAGATCTGTCATTAGACGCAAAGGCCTAGTGGTCAACAAAGGGACAGTCTGAGCATCTCACCTTATATAGCTTTTCATAAAGGTCCTGAGGGAGACTGGGCCCTGGAGATTTAGAACCTGTAATGATTCTTGTCAGACATAATGCTTGTGAATACCTTTCCTTAACAAATCCTTTTCAAGCACATGAAAATCGCAAAAATTGTTTTTTAAAAAAAGGCAAATCAAAATGTAAAAGAAACATATTTTTTTTTATAATAGCTAAGCTTTCCCAAGTATCTCAGAACCACCTCTTGGGGAACAATTGTCATGTGAGTGAAACTCTTTAAAGTAGATCAAATATAAGGGCTTCCATGCAGTGACTAGTTTCACTTGCTGTATTAATATCAATTAGTATTAAATATATATTAAACAATAGTAATAATAGTAACAGAGGCCACTTATTAGGCTTCTAGTACTATATTCACGACACCGTATATAAATCTGTCTCATTGAAGGTCCCTGTTGAGTAAGCATTATTATTCTTACTTTACCGATGAGGAAACTAAGGCTCAAAGGGTTAAGTAGCTTGCTCAAGGTCATAGAGCTAGAATACACAGATGCCCAAGCCATGTTCTTCCTTCCTCCACCCCACTGCCACCAATAACTTTGAGGATGATGTTAGCCTTTAATTCAGACGTCTCCCTGTCTTAACCCGTGTTTGATTTCCCCCTAATCAGAGAGCCATTCTGAGGATCATTCATGGGAAATCGCCATCCTCACTTCTCTGTAATGTATCTGAGTCATTTATGTCCAAATATCGCCCTGCTCAGTGAAAGAAATAGGATGTGATGACTATTTGTACTTTTGATGCTACCTTCACTGTCACTTAAGTCCTGAATGCTTTAAAGAAGTACTTGCTTCTCGGGAACAAGGAAACGGACAGTTTATGAACTTAAGGCTTTTGAACAAATTGCCTAATTACAGAAAACAGAGAGAGGAAAAAAATAAATCTTGTTTCCAACAACGAGTTGAGTGACATTTTATGTTGCCATCAGCCTGTTCTCCTAAGAAACTCAAGACCATCCCATGTGCTATCTCATTAATCTACAACCCACCCTGTGGTGGGCAGATGGGGTTACACAGCCACTGCAGGAATGAGAGATAGAAAGGTGGTGATTTTGCCGATACCATACAGCACACAAATGACCAGGTGACCCATCTCACCTCCCTATTCTTCTTATTAACACCACCTGCCAAAGTCAGAAGATTTGGGCAGGTAAGAAATTAAATAAATAATCTGGAAAAAAAACACCTTGCATCCAAGTGCCATATTAATGCCCTTTGCCCTATACGAAACTCAGAACATATCTTTATATTCCCTTCCTAGATCTGTCCTTTCATTTGTGCCTGGTCTGCAATGTTTTGATTTTGTTATAGTTATTTCTTTATGGTTTTTTTTCAGCCTACCTCTCACTCTGTTTTCTAATCTGTTTCGTGAATTTCCTTCCTGGCATCTTAAATTAGATGACCAAAGAAAGTGGGAGGAGGCTCAAAAGCAATCAAGTAATTGGTCATTATAAGTTTTTCATTGTTTTTTTTCCGCCCCTGCAGATTTTGAAGTGAACTGTTAAGTAACTTTTTGCCTAGATGAGGCTGGGCTTGACAAAAAGACATAATAATTCACACCCAAATGTTGGGCACAGTCTCATGGGATGGTTAGCACTATCTTGGTTATCTCACATCATTTCCCTGGAAACCGGTTTCTCTTGTGTTCTTACATGAATTAACCACCTTCTAGGTTTCAGCTGGCTCGTGAATGGCAAATCTCTTAAGGCTGGTTCTTTCTAGTTCTCTGGATCAAAACCTCGGTGGTCTGTCTCCTCTGTGCAAGCCTTCACTCCTGAAACTCACATGCCAAACACTTGGGAGAGTTTCATCTGACAGGTTTAACCAGTTACAATGAAGCTTGACTTAGCTCTTAAGTTCCCTGGTTCACTAGAAGAGATAGGACCTTCTCATCTTCTCAGAGGCACAGCCTCGTCTTCTCCTTGGCACCACTGCCTCTCCTCCCCATCAGCCCCTGCTTTTGATTGACTGCAGACCCCAAATGTGGAGGAGGAAAAGCAGCCCCACAGTCTCACTCATATGAAGCTTGCCCTTGACAATAGGGAGAATTTTGTTTTCAAAAGCTTATACCGCCATTGGACTGGATTAAGTGAGATGGTCCCCAAGTTCAGCCAGAAAGATTTTGACTGGAATACCTAGGGTATTTTCCTACTCTCCTGAGAAAAAGTATGGTTTCTAAGCCACCAGCAGCAGCAGCACCCCACATGCACAGCCGCGTAAATCCCTTAGTGTTTTTTTTCTCTCCCTTCCTTTTCAACTCACCTTCCGAGCCGATCTTCGTGGCTTGATGCAATACTGTTTTTCCAACTGGATTAGTGTTTTCTTAAAGAATTATCATTTATATATATATATATATATATATATATATGTAAACCAATTCATTTCTATGACCCTCATCTGTAAAACCAGATAAAAATAATAGCTATGTCATGGAGTAGTGGATTTAAGGAGCTTGTATATGCAAAACACCAAAAGTCATCCCTACCACAGAGAAATTTGGGGGAAAAAAATGCATCCTTCTTTTTATTACTTTGATTATTAGCTTTCATTAACCACCGTTGTCAATGCTGTGAGCCTCAAACTTTCTTTGCGGTTCAATTCTTCTGTTGTCACACTCCCTGTTTCCCTAGTAGAGAATCAAATGCCATGAAGCTTTAAACCCATTGCCCTTTAGCCGGGGTGGCCCATCCAGACCCCGAGTGGCTTGACAGCTGCTAGCGTCTCTCACCCTTCTATGGCTCCTGTCTCACAGCTTGTGGGGCAGGTGATGGGCTAGAGGGAGCAGAAGCCGAATGAAAAAATCCTTCCCACAATGAACAATGGTGCTTGGAATGCTGTGCAGGCAGCTGCAGCCTTCAGCACGCGCCCACCACATACAGTAGGACACCAGGGAGGGCCCGGCTGTGTTTCTAAGCGGGAGTTGTTCTCTGCGCATGTGCAGAATGCTGCTCTGTTAGATTCCCTCTCCTTTTTTAAATTTTTGCTTCATGGGAGTTCAAACATTTAAAAAAGAATCATATTGAAATGGATAAAGTAGCAGCTATTAAATTAATAATAATAACAAAGATTATAACTGCACCAAAATAAGCCAGTGCAACTCAGGTGCTATCTATTTCCCAACAAAGAGGAGGGGAGAAATTGAGTCCCAAAAAAAGCACTGCCATGCCTCACAACAGATGTGTTCCAGGATGGTTTGGGGGGAATGATAGGATGGATGAGTTAAGGTCCTAGTGGTCCTGCCCTCTAAGCGTTTCCCACCTAGAGGCAGAGAGGAGATGTGAGTGGCCCACATCTGAGATGCTGGGCTGCATGTGGATGACAGAAGAAGCCAGGCCGGGGCCAAGACTACTTCCCGAGGCCACATGCTTCTTTATATCCCCATACGGATTACTTTGCTATGGAATGTAAGGAAGTGTGTGGTTTCGGCAAGTGCCTCTTCGCTGGTCCCATGGTCCCCACCCAGAGAATGGGTTTGTCCTCATCAGGGCTGTGCGCCAGCAGGCGTCTCGCTCACCAACTAAGAGAGAGCCTCCGAATCCTGTCTGGGCCGCTCTCCCACGGCCCTTCTCTCCCTCTAGAGGTTCTATCACTCAGCCCACGAGTTCAGGCACTATGATGGTTGTCCCAGTCCCCCGGACCTCACCCCTGGTGCTTGCTTGGCTGGGAGAGGCCACATCACCTAAAGGTTTTTCACAGGATCAGCCCTTGCCCTCCGAGCTCCTTCCTTCAGTCACTTTGCTCCTGAAATGAGATGTTTCTAGGAACCAAACTGAATTGTAATTCATATCCATCTGTATCACTTCCCTTTATAATGATCTGTGTCCATGGCAGTTTATGCATTTCAAAACACTTTCATTGGAGATAGAAGGGCAGGTGCTATGAGTCCAGGAAGCCACAGCTTGGGGTCACGCAGACAGGCCCCTGACCCTGCTAGCTTTTCCAATTCACGTGACAACCCTGTAGCAAAGCAGCGCTTCTGAGTGAGGCTGTTAACAGAAAACATTGGAGGTGCTAAAATGGTGATGCCCTCATCTAAGTTCCTTTCTCCCCTCCCCTCTAAACCCCTGTGTTCCCAGCCCTGACCTTAAAGGGCCTGAATCCACACCAAGAAGGAGTTGGACTTAGGGAGAGATGCCCTGAGCAGTAGGGGAGACTGCAGTCCCCCCAGGCTCAGGCCATCACCTTCCCCAGCATTTCAGGACCCTCGCTCCAGGACCCTGGCTGCATGCCTTCCACAGCTCTGCTTCCCAGGGGGGGTGTGTGTGAGAGGACAGCTGGGATTACACTAAATTTATACTATGAATTCATAAGCAGAACCACGAAAGACACCACAGTTTCGACAGATGTGTGCCAAGCACCGGGGAGGGGGAGGGACTATAAAATAGAACAAAGAAGGAGCAAAACAAGGACGTGCAATAAGGAGAAAAAAGAAGCATGAAGAGAGGATACACATGTTTAAATGGCAGATGGCAGATAAATGCAGAGTGGCCAAAGATGAAGGGTGCCATTCCCTCCAGAGGTGACAGCACCTAGAGCACAATGGGCCAAACCCCTCACAGGCTATAGCAACACAGGTGACACCACCCACCTGCCTCTTCCGGACACCAGGATATGGTCACCAGGCTATGCCCCTGACAGCCTTCATGGGCATGTTCACCTGTACTCTCTGGGAATGAGGAGAACTTCAAAGAATGTGGGCAACTTACTAGAGATTGGGGTAGCTACAAGACTGAACATGGAAACTTACAGTGTTAGAGCAGTGATTCTCAATCAGAGGTGATTTGGCCCCCGGGGCACATTTGGCAATGTCTGAGGACGTTTCCTAGTTGTCACAACTAGGGAGTTCTACTGGCATCTAGTGGGTACAGACCAGAGAGGCTGCTGAACACCCTACAATGCACATGACAGCCTTCCAGAGCAAAGACTTTTCTGACCTAAAATGTCACTATGCCAAGGTTGAGAAACCCTGCTTTAGATCGTGGTGCTTTGAATGAATAAGACCTCCAACATCAGTATATTATGGCATTTTATCTTCCAAAGAAAATTATTATCCTTATTTTATGAATATTTATGTCTGTAAAAGAGGCAGATGCCTCAAAGATGTGCTTCTTTCCAAAGACAACCCTTTCCCTTTTCTAAACCACACTTGCACTAAAGATAGTTTTGTGGGTTTTTGTTTTTTTTCTTTTATGTCATCTGTTCAAAAATCTGGGGCTGTATTTTGTGTGGGGGGCAGGATGTGAGTAAAGAAGGAGACAGAGATGATGAAGAGGAATGTCCTGAACTGAAGAAAGTATACTGTAAGAGGCTTGTCATTCTGACTGGTGAGCTGGACCCACATACTTGTTCCGTCCTGATTTCAGACTGCCTGGCTGACATCCCCACAGATGTCTACCTACTCCCTTGCTACCTGACAGAGGTAGAGAAGGACGGTTGGGCTGGGACGAGGTTAGCCAGAGGACGAGCTGGACAGCAGCAGCCCCGAGACCCCTCTGTCATTGGTAGGAGGAGGAAGATGAAGGTGAAATGCCTCACTGCAGAGCCAGCAGGACGCATGCCCAGGAGGAAGGGACTCAGGACAAGAAAAAGGCTTCATCATTATCCTACACAAACCACTGTAGAACCAAGCCCTTCTTGGTGGGTCCCCTGCCTTCCCACCCCCATCAATCAAAGTACGCTTTTACCTCATTTTTTTTTCCTATGGTGCCTTGTTGAGTGCTTTGATTTCTGAAATATTTATTCCAGACAGGGGTCCCAAGCTGGAGCCCATCTGGTAGAGGTTTACTTGGTTGGGTAAACCAGTTCTGCTTTGCCTGATCAGTGGTTTCAACACTTCAGAGATGAAATGAAAACACTTGCAGCTGAGGGAAGGGAAATATATGAAGGATAGGCTGGAGTTCAGAGTGAACCTCTTGGCCTCAAAAGCTGTTGGATTTGTCTCTAGGACTTTCCCATGAGCCCTGAAAGCATCCATGGTGCCCACCAGGGACTTAGGACTGACCACTTTTCCTTGTTTTCACTAAGCCTGACAAGTAGGCCAGGTAGGTATCTTCCCCCACTGTATAGATGTTGAAACTGAGGTTTAAAGAGGTTATATAACTTCCTGAAAGCAAAAGAGCAAGGAAGCATCAGCGGGATTTGAACCCAGGTGAGTATGACTCCAAGGCCACTCACTCTCTTCCTACTCGATTACACTTCTCGTCATCAAGGAGAGAAGATATAAAAGGTCAGGCAAAGCCTACTCCCAAAAGCCGTTTTCTGGGGTCATTCAGACTAAACTTTCTTCCTACCACTTTCCCCACCTGTTCAAATACATCATGAAGATAGCCAGGCCAATTTTCTGGGGAGACCCTCCTTCTGAATCAGCTCCTTGCCCCCTTGATCACATTTTTCTAGAAATAGGGAGAAACGTGGGTACCTCTGTTAGTCCAGTGGTTCTCAAACTTGAGCTGCATCAGAATCACCTGAAGAACAGGTTACAACACAAATTTCTGGGCCCACCCCCAGATGTTGTGAACTAGTAAATGCTGCTTTTCCTTTGCAAAGTCGATCTATAAGTTCTTACTTACTGGAATCGAGATCTCTCCTTTAAAATCTACAAAAATCAAAGACTCCCCCACTCTGCCCACTTGTTAAACCAAACAACTCTAACGTCTATCACCAGGAAAATGGCTAAATAAATTGTAGTATATTCACATAGTAGAAAACTATAAAACAATAAAAATGGATAAACTACAGCTGTCAATCATTATGGATGAATATCATTTTAAGTGAAAATATCAAGTCACAGAAGAATACCTATGGTATGATACATTATATTAAAAAACAAGTAATATAATATTTAGGAATATATGCATAAATGGTAAAAATTATTAAAAATTATTTAAATTATACTTTAAATTATTTAAATTATATTTTAAAAAGGAACTCAGAATAATAGTTACCTCTATGGGAAAGCCAAAAAGATAAATTAAGAAAATCTTTCAGGAAGCCTCAACAGTATTATTAAATTGTTGTTCTAAAGTAGACAGCTGCTTGTGGATATTGGTTTTAATCATTATATGTTACAACTTACATATGTATTACATATATTTTTCTATAAATGCATCATATTTAAATTAAAAAATAATATATTTTATTTATTTTAAATATTAAAGTGTAAGGCATTCAAAGACTATAAACCAAAATGTTAAATTTATTTTGGAAAATGGGAGAAGAGAGAATTATGAGAGATTTTCATTTTCTATAGTCTACAATTCTGTATCCTTTTAGTTCTTCAAAATGTTCATATTAACAAAAAGAATAAGGATCAAAAAAATTAAAAAGTCATACAATGCAAAATTATGTGTGATTTTCACAAATCCTATGAGAGGATGTTCTAGACAAGACAAGCTACTGGGATTTGATTCATGCTGATGCTGGTTCTCTCTGTGTTGCAGGCGTGGACCAGTGATGTTCAAAACGTACCAGGAATCCTCACGCTAAAGACTGCAGTCACTTCCCAAAGGAGCTGCCCCCTGCTCTGGCTGGTCAAACGGAACCAAGTCCGTCTTCCTGAGAGGTTTGGTCCCCTTCAACCAGCTACAGCAGGGCTGGCCCTGCCCCGTCCGTGGAGGAACAGAAGAGATCCACCTGTGACTGAACTGACCTACTAATGCTTCCCTTAAGGAAAAGACTCTGATTTTATCCTATATTCTCATGCTCCCAACAGGGGAAAAAAGAGGGGCCCTGGGTTCAAAAGTTTGCAAGGTTTTCATGCCCACTACACAGAGCTCTGTGCCTTTGCACCCACAGCCAGACTTGCTCACATGCTCTTGACACACACACACAGTCAGCAAAGATTTGTGCATGGAATTTTTGCCAACCCTGGGCCAGCCAGGGGGAGAACATGAGACCTCAAAGACAGGGCCCCTGCTCACAAGGGGCTCACAGTCTAAGAGACTGGACATATGAATATGGCACAATTCAATGGAATCGCAAGTCAGAGCATGGCTAGTTCCATGACATAATTCTTCTTACATAGCACACCAGATATGCCTGGTACCTTGTGTACCATCAAGTCTCTATTGGTCCAGTCAGCTCAAGATACCTATTCACTAAGCAACATACATGTGACTCAGTTTCCTGATCTGTAGAATGGGGATCATAATTATGGCACCTACCCTATAAGGTTTTATGTGGAATGAAATGAGAATACATGTAAAGGAGTTTAAAAGTTCTCAATAATTGTTACCTGTTATTAAGGGGGAACCCTGACGTGCCCTGCCAATTTCTCTTTCAAAATTTGTA